TGGAACTTTTATAGAATCTATACTATTATATTATACACACAACATTTATACATTTAATTTTTTTGGTAAAAATTAATTTAATTTATATTTGTACTAATGCCTAATAGTAAAATTTACTTTAATCACAATAATATTACCAAATATACTTAGAAATATAACCGTTATCAATATTTAGACCACTTTCGTTGAAAATCGTTTTCACATACAATGATTTTATATCATCGAATTCAAATTTATTACATTCATTACAGTAACTTTCTATAAATATAATTTACTGCAGAGCATTACCCACTTAACCGTTTTTTTTATTATTGTTTTAATTTTTAATAGTTGGTACTTTGTATTGTTTCAAATAGACAAATTATCAAAAATATATATTTTTAGAATGTATTATATATTTATATCTTTTATATCAATGGAAATATTTGAATATTGATCCTGTTTTAAGGACTTAATACGAAATAAGACATTTGACAGAAACAAATAATTGAAGACCTCGGAGCAACCACAGTGGCGCATTATTGAGATTGTAAAATAAATAAAGAGAGTAAATAGAACAAATAGAATAAACAAAAAGAACCATACAAATAAATTATTTTTGTATCATGAATTTGAATCTAAAATCCTATAAGCAAGTCCTGAATCCGAGATTGTTAATTTTCAGAGAAGCCCAAATATCACTAAAAACTACAAAATAAGTTTCATTTCATTCTCTTTTTTATTTTTATTTCTTTATACCTTATAAATTAAAAAATGGCAATATTCTAGTATAATATCTAACTGAGTTATTTATCGTTTTCACTTTTCTGAGTCTTCGAACTTATATTATTAATATACTTCGAAACTTCGATTATTTATAACAGAATATCAGAGTAAAATACAGAATTCGTAGAAAACAATTTTATTATTGACAGCAAGTTATAATCATATTGTTATACAGTTTGAATACCATAAGTTCAAGAAAGGTAACATTTATAATTTAAGTTTATTATATGTCTTAAATAATAGTAATTATATTTAAATTTATATTTTAAATTGCATTAATAATATAAGATTAAGTGCTAATACATATAGAGCTTATATTACAAATTATGTGTTTATGAAATTTTTATATTTATATTACTCGAATATCTCTTTGGTATTTTTACTAATGAGGCCGTATAAAGATTCTAATAAATACTAATAAATTCTATTAGTCGATAAATAATTTTACAACCGTATTTATTAATATTATAACACGTGATGTAAGAATATATATTTTTTTTAATTTGAATCAATATTTTTCTACTATACGTCACTTTTTGTGACGAGGGATTAAATTCGAAAACCGCTGTTTCTTTGTATTATTATATATAAGTACGCGAGTATATCGCTCTCACCGAAGTTCCGGACGTTAAACAAATAATAATAATAATAATAATAATAATAATAATAAAATTATATTGTTGCAGTTCGACGGTTTAGAGTTTGTGAAATAATAATATAACATGGAGTGTCATCATGTGTTCATATTGTACAAGACCATCTACGGCTTACCATGTCTTATATAATTATATCGGCGTTTGGTCTCTATACATAATAATATAATATAACGTACTAACGCCGCCGGGTGACATGACAAATTGATTAATTTAATGCTTTCTACTAATAGATTTAATGTAGTCCAATCGAGGTCCACCAAATGTTGTTTGAGGGACCGTTAGTGCCGCACTATTGATTGAATGTTTAATGATTGCAGATTTGTAAGTCTGATTCTTAGAATAAAAACGTTTATTTGAGTCAAGTAGCTTATTTTTTACAATTTTTTTAGTGGTTAATTAATTTGAAAAGTACCTAATAATTGTTTTCAAAACATTCTTTTAGGGTATTTTTAGACAAAAGTAAATCTTAAATTATTTATTTTCAAAGTGCTTCAATCGTAGGACACTAAATCGTGTTTAAGCGAACCGTTAGCGCCGCACTATTGATTGATTTATTGGGTGCTATGTATAATTGCAGTATGTGATGCAATCACGGGCATTAATGCGTAATAATAGAAATCAATAATTCGACTTTTAAAAATATATTAGCATACCATGCATCACCCATCACCGCATCACTTTCTGTCATATAAATATTTATTCATTACACAAAAATTCTAAAATGTTGAGTACTGTGGGCATATGAAAAAACATTTAAAACCATAGTAAATATTATGAATTATTGTAGATAGTAATGAGGTTTTACAATTAGAAAATAAAGTATTTTTAAGAGCATGTTCAAGCATTTTTTCAAACTATTTAAGTATATATAGTAATATGGTACATTTAGTGGGCATAAATGAATGTATTTTTGAACATTTTAGAGCGTGAAGTCCCTAGCAATAGACTAATGTAATTTAATAATAATATAATATAATTTTCAAAAATAAAACTCTGAAAAATGTCTTACATAAAGAAAAGTTATTACGTCATGGAAAGCATATAAATAATAAATACAATATCTGTATTACCCGACTCTGCTGGGGTTGAAATTAATCAATCTTTGTCCGTTTTTATTCAATTGAATATACAATACGAACACAATTACGTATAATGAACAATATTATTATTTTCCACTTTTGAATTTTGGATATATGTTTGATATAAACACACAATAAAAAAAAATGAAGATGGATTCAATATGAGTTCTTAATAACATTTGTCATAAAATCCAATATCGTTAACATTGGTATTCATATGCCATGTGTTACATCAAAATCAAGTCTAGAATTAAGAAAGAGAATCATAATATTGAAAATCATAAAATTAATCATCGTAATAATATTGTATTTATAAATAAGTAGGAATTTAATTTTAATTTGTTTTTATAGTTTATACTTCTAATATTTTTTACACGTCATACTTCCAGTTTGAGACTGGAAATTTTTCAAGTTTCCTAATTTTTATTCAACTAAATTGTTAAAGTTAAGTACTTTAAATATAAAAGCCAACCAAGTTAGAGTATATAAGTTAGTTTCTGAAATTTCTAACTTGGTTAGTTAGAATAGTTAGTTGGTGAAAATAATAACTTAAGTTAAAATAGATGTTAGAAATTGGTATTTGTATAGTTTAAAATTTAAATTTAACTAGTCGTTTGTTAAGTATTAAATATTTTGTTACTTATAGAGTGAATTTCTAACTATAATTAGTGTCTAGCTATGTATATTTCTGCTATAATTATAATAGAAATATTATAATCTGTAATGATAGTGGCATCCTGAACATTCAAATGAACAAAAAATTATTTGATTAGGTATAATAAACTAAATTTATGAGTGTGTCATCATATAGCAGCTTCTACCTATATAAGGGTAAAAAAATCTATAAATACTCCCAGTCTCAACATAAAGGATCTATTGATATAAATCTTATTGAAAACGGTCCAGTAGTTTTCGAGTCTAAATAGAGGACAAAAACAAATAAATCTGCAGATATAGTCTGCGCGTTCTATATGACGGACGTAGGCTCGTCTTTGAGTTTTTTTTTTCATTTAGGTATTTATTATATTATTATTTATTTGCTACATTTTTTTTTCTTTCGTGACATTTTTTCCGAAACGAGTGCCAGCAGAGAAATGGGCTATTCGCGAGCGTGAGCTAGTACATGTGTATATAAGATATAATATAATATAATATAACATAATATAATATAGTATAATATATGTGTATTATATGTATATATTATATATTATACTCGTTTTGAATGCGCACACAGAGCGTATATAATTAATTCTGATATTTTTCATTATTCTTATTTTTTTATTCATTTCGAATGTTGAACTTTCTCGCGTGCCCGGCGTTACGCACAATCGCGGCGAATTGTGAAAATCCACACGCGTGAATGAGTATTTTTCTCTAATTGACGATGTGATATCGCATGTACACTCATCATAAACATACATATGTATACCACATACATAATGCACATATTCTATACAGGGTGTAACTGATCGGACAAACGAAAAATAAAAAAAATGATACTACTTCTATGACAGACAATGAAAATTATAAATAAATAATAAATAATTTAAGATTTTGGTATTTACTGAATTTTCCCAAAAAACAATTTGATTTGATTTAGAACTAAATATTTTCAACGTGAAGAAAAAATAAAAAATTGTCTACCTACTTTGTACTTGTTGCGTCTATGTATTTCACATACAAATGAGTTTCAATAATAATAATAAAAATGATAAAAATATATTGGTTAGAACAAAATGAATTATTCCATTTTTCAGGTCGTTCTGTCACACCTTGTATAATATCATATACTACACCTTTCGGCATCGTCGTCGCCTTCTCCGTGTAGCCGGCAAATAATTAATTTCACAATTACGTATTTATAATAATACTAACACATTAAGCATTATTGGTTATCCACAACTATAGGCATTATAATATTATGTTTTGTACGAAAAGGTTTCTAAACCGCGAGGTCCCCGGAACAATCGATCGAACGGTACGGGACGTCAAATCAACGGGGAAACCCGTCATAATAACCGATGGCGATCATTATTTGCGATGTTTTGTTGTCGTCTGCGGCGGCCATTGTTTCGGCCGTGTGAAAACGCACGCGGATGTGCGGACCCGAAGCGTCCCGCACAAGTCTCTATAGCGCCGTCGATACTTAAAACAGTCGCTTTGCATGCGACTGGCAGTTATTCGGCTGATTTCGCGTGACTGCGTAAAAACCCGCGGACCCGAGTATACCTGAGCATACCGCGTAGCTGGTATCCTATACATCTCTCGTCATATCGCGCTCGTCCCATACTGCTAGACCAGCACAATAATAATAAATTATAATATCGTAACAACCGCTGCAGCCGCAGCATAGAAATATTAATCGTTACTATTATTGTTATTGTTGTTATTATTGTTATTATCATTATAATATTATAAATCGTTACCAACACGCGTCTATATTCGTTCTCCGTCACGCAATAAAAACAATAACTCGATTATTGCATATAGTACGGTTTAGATGAACGACAAGTACGTCATGTATGTCTGCTGGTTTGTCTGGACGATGGCGTTTTCCATCTCGCCGAACATTTTCGTTCATTCCGGTAAGTAATTTATGTAATAACTTAACACTATAGGGCTGTGAATTTGCAGAAGAAATATGTATTGTTTTTAGCTTACTGTAAAACATGGCTTCCTTAACGCACGAACTTTGAATTTGGCTAGTGATGAGCTAGCCATATACCTACTGTAAAATATTATAAACATTTTAATTTAATTTTTCAATTTTTTGTATTTTTTACTTATTAGGTCATTTTTAGCATTTTTATATGGGTTTTCGTTTTTAAAAAATACTTTTTTCAATATTTTAAAATGATTTCTGTCGGTCAGAACATTTTATGAACTATCTTTTTTTTTTTTAAATAAATATTTTGCACGATCTGTACAACATAACATGTGACATATCATGTCATATAGTCAATTAAAATGACATATATTTAATTTATAGCTATAGTTTGTTTAAGTAAAAATATTTGATTTACATAATATGCACAGCTTACAATTATATTGACTATAATTTTGTGTTACCGAACTCTCACTTCTGCACAGCCATTATATGAACTTGGATGTGATCAACTTCAGTTTTACTATTATTATTGTAGTCGCACTGTAATTTAATTGTTGTTTTGTTGCAAATAAATATTATTCAAAAACTAAAGCATTTCACAATCGAGAGATTTTTATAGTTTTTAAATTGTGAATCTCGTGTAAGGTACAGTACTACAGTGCATTTTATACTGAATATTTTTATATTTTTATTAATTTGTAATGTTTTTTTTAGTGCATTTTTCTATGTTATAAGCTCATACTTTTATTTTAAAATATGTTTTTAAAGTATCTTTCGTATTTCTTTAATGGCAAAATGAAAATTAAGTTTTTTATGTGTAATTATATGTATACAATTTCATCGAAATTCTAACTCACAAATATGAAATATACATTGATCATAAATACAGTGTTTACTATTTATAATCGATGGTAGCATCAAACTTGTAGGCACTAATATGTCTTCAGGATGGGGGAGGGGGGGGGCTCCAAGCCACCACCCCGTGACCATCCTTAGTCAGAGTAAAAGAAATACATAAATGACCCAATATACAGGTAGGTATAGTGGTATAGTGGCCACTCATTGTAATAATAAATTGAAATAATAACTACGGTACTACAATAATATATCATTGATATTTGGCCGACAACTTAATTTTAAGACCTTCAAAACGTTTTAACTTCAAGTGTTCGAAAAATGTTTGTATTCATGTAATATTTAAAGTATCTTACGTACTTATTTTAATGGAAAAATTAAAATTAAGTTTTTTATGTAACTATTATTTATCATACTATTATATATTCTACACATCTTTTTTATAATCTTACTCTATATAACAGGTGTCAAAAGAATATTCGATTTGAATTTTGGTACAAATTAAAATTCATAGTTGTTACTACCCGAGATGGTATAAGCTAAATATATTAATTTTGGTACAAATTACAAACGAATTTAAAAAAAAATTTGGTGATACCATCATAACAAATTACTGTCATAACCATACTTACACAAAAAACTTTATAATTATAAACTACAGCCATATTTGAATGAAGATTATTATAAGTTATACAGTTGTATGTATCTAATATAATATATACAATATTATACATGTCTGTATTATTCGAAAATGTCCCATTAATTTAGTTTATATTTTGCATTATTATAACATGATTGCTTTATTATCTAAATACTATAATTGTATACTGTTACTATCGAAACATAAACGTAAGTATACCATATCAAAAGAATAATCGGTTATAATTTTTCTGCAAAAAAACCTCCTTGTAAGTTATAACGAATCGCTTAGTAATAAGTAATAACTGATACTTCTGTAATTAAGCAGTTTCGATTTTATTGAGACTAAAATGTACGGGATCTAGGTAATCTTTAGGGGACTGTTGTTATTTTCCGTTATAAGAAGACAATATCTGTCATATAGATTATAGGGAGTCCATTATAGAGAGTTTTCTACTGTATTTATTTTGGGACTATTTGGTGATGAAAATTGACTATAGCTGTTATTATTGTGCCCAAGTTATATCACTTCCATACTAGTCTATGACATTTTTTATGATCAATCAAATTTATATTTATATTTTGTCAGATTCGGCAAAAATACCGTCAACGAGAGGGGTGGGCAGGGTCTCTTTGTCCACTTCACCTCCTGCTCACCACCGGGCAATGCCGATTAATGCTAAAAAACTTTATTATTATATCGAGTTTATTTGTTTCCTATATCCCGATGAGCAAATAAAAAGTACCCAATGATGTATAATATAAACAAAAATATTGCATTATACTAATAATTATATGTAGGTAGTGGGTACCAACACACTCAGATACTATTGTGTTTTATTGCGTACACAGTACCTACACACGACCGATATCGGAAGTATACTATAATGTAATTGATAATTGATATATTATTCATTTACAAAATTTACGCCGTGAGGCATTACAACATAAGCATATAATACTCGCACATTATGCAGAGTAATGATAATATAGTTGTAACATCCGCCGGCTGTGTTTGCACTTCTGCTGTGGAGACTTTATAATATTTTGTCAGCGTTTTTTTTCCTCTCCTTTTCGGGAGATCAAACGGAAAATAAAAAACCAAGAAATGGACCGTCGTTTACCAAGCTTTGCATTTTATTATATTGTATAATATTATCACCGTAGTGAATGCAACTCGGGCAGTAAAAAAAAAATGAATAAATTCTTAAAACAAACCCACTAACACACACACACACACACACCACACACACTGTCACGCGCACGCCCGCCGCCGCATAATATCGTCTTTCACACTGGCGTGCGTTTCCATTCGGTTATTTTCGAATACGTTCTAAAATAATATCAGTAAACTGCGTGTAAGCATGTGTGTGCGTGCGTATGTATACACTCGAAACGGGGTAAAAATATCTGAGCTTGTGTGTGTGTGTGTGTGTGTGTGTGTGTGTGTGTGTGTGTGCGTGTGTGTGTGTGTGTGTGTGTGTGTTTGTGTGTGCGTGTGTGTGTGTGTGAATGTTGACAAATTAATAAGGATACAGCGATATTCAGACGATATTCAATAGACGATAATATTGTTATTGCATAAATTATATTATTGCTCGGTCAACTAAATATATAGTTACAAAGTCAAAGTCGAGATGGAAAGTTATTTTTTAAGTATAATTTTCGAACTTGACAAGTTGACGATTTTAATATTCGTGAAAACTTTTTGATTTAACTAGTTGAGTCGAATACGTTATTATAATCTAATCGAATGCGTTAAAAACAAAAAAGTACAATTTTACGAGTAGTTAGATGGTTTGTTTACTGCAAAACCATAGTGTTGTGTTAAACACACATATAACACCGCCGAGTATATAATAAATTAATATTAAGTATTTTGTGATAATATAATATATACCTACGTCCTACATGTAATGCCCGATTTAAACCACAGTTGTACACAGTTAGCTTAGGTACCCACCTGATTATTAATTTAATATGTAATACTTATTAGTTATAACTTTACGTTTTAACAAACTGTTTTGTAAATTAATATTTAAAACTATGAAAACATAACATTTAGCTAGAGTTATTACTTTCACCAACTAATTTCAAACTAAGTTAGACGATCGGAAAATTTCATAGTCTGATTTTATTAGTTATTATGTTAAAGTAATCGAACTTGAACTGATTGAAAATCATGACCAACTCGCCCAGCTTTGAATTTAGGTGTATTATAATACAAAACAATAAATATTTTAATATAGAGTTATAGTCACTAAAACAATAAACACTATACTAGTCACAATATTATAATAATATTACACTGTACCACAACAACCGTGGTATATAGAGCAGTATGCGTGTATAGTGTGTACGACGGACGTTATAATAATATTGTAAATTGCTTTTTTTTTCAGCCGACGAACCAAGCGAATACGAGTACACAGATCTATGTTTTCGGGACGACCCAAAAATAGACGTTTGCATCCGCAAAAGAATTAACGACGTGGTCGAGCAATTCCATAAAGGTACATAATATTATAAGATGCTGTGCTGTGGCAGCCCTTCCAGCTCACAATAATATTACATTATTAATTATCATAATTATTATTACTATTGTTAGTGTAAGTAATTGGAATTATTGGAACGATACCTAAAAAGCACTATGTATTTGTTCACCCATGTTACCAATAGATATGTTAATATACGGAATTTGTTTTTTGTATAATATACCTAAAGTACCTACATCATATTGAACTTTGCAGTACCTTAAATTATCGGAATTTTAAATCAGGTTATAAAACTATTGTATATTAGGTAAGACCAATTTTAAAATTATTTAATAATGCCGGAATACATTTTAAAATAATTTAAAATAATACGATAATTATTTTATTAATATTTAAAGTCTTGGTACCAATACTGATACACCTAGTGACTAGAAACAAAACAATTTTAATTTAAAGTAATGTAATTATACAATTCACGTGGTAAATTATATTCTTAAAAACATTATCACATATATAATTGTTTTTATATACCAGGTGTATAACATCTCATTTCTATAATATCTATCTATATATGTAACTTTATAATAATAATAATAATAATAATAATAATATATGGGTCAAGAAGTTGTTCGTTTTTCTATACTCACGAGCCGACGTGGAAGTTTTTTCAAAAAGTTTCAATTATAGCGGTCTCCGGCTGGAGAGGTATAGTAACTATAATAGTGTATAAATACGTAATATTAATTATCCTATATTAAGCTTTTTTTTATGCAACACGGACATTTTCATAATAACACATTCCAATGAAACGGTAAGTTCCGTTCCGACACAATTATACAACTGTGTATCTACGTAAATAAATAAATAACAATGTACCCAAGCATCGCTGTCCCGATCATATTTATTTCTTTGGATTCAAATACCAACCATTCGTCCAATTTAGTCACGAAATTTTAAAATTTTAATAATAATATTATACAAACGTATTATAGAAAAGAAAAATAGACCAAACGATTTTTGGCGCAATGTACAGCTGTTGATATAATAGCCCGTACACTGATACTCGCGTACGTCTTTTTATAGATCGCCATATTTTTTTTTCTTTAACACCAAATGAAAAATAAAAAAAAAACAAACATTTAATGGGTTACTAAATTAAATTATTATCTCCTAGAACCTCTATCGTTGTAAATAATATATCAATCAGAGGTTCTAATACTAATCACCGTGTGGCGTGTACTGATACACCAATTTCGAAAACCGTCCAATTAAATTTATTTTGTATTTACTATTTTCAATATATCTAATTTTACTTGCATATATGGACGATTATAGTAGATATGGATAGATTTACAGTAGGACGACCATCAATGACCATATTTCAACAAAAAAAAAAAAACGAAAAGACGACTTCGACTCATTTGAGAGTTATCATTGATCGTTACTTGACAATACTGTTGTTTATATAATATTATCGTTACCTATAGGTTAATATATTAACTCTGGTTTCAACAACAGCTCAATGATAAAGAACAGTAAAAATATTGTTTTTTTTAATTTCACGCACAGGTTTTTCTTTTATGCGAATATCTATAAGTACCTAGAATAATATGGAGGTGACGGGACAAAAAAGGTCCCGTTTGAAGTTTGTCGGGAGGATAGGATAAGGTGCTCGAAAAAGGAATTACAATCCTGTTCTAAACGGCACGTATGCCGCGCCCTAGAGTACAGTGTTAACAGTAAAACCTCTAATAACGTACACCTCTAAATAGAGGACATTTTTTTGGGAACAATCCACACACATTTTCTATAAATCGATTTAGAAGTTTCACTGTACGTTGTCGTGTTCGCCGAATACTTCAACGTACACAATAAACGAACAAATAATATAATCAGCACATATTTTAATGAACACTGGTGTCTATGGTGGTAATCGAGTCACACGATCACCACCTCTGACCCACTGGTTTGTCTCGTATTATGACTTATATACTATCGCATAACCTAGTTTTGTTTTGCTACATCTGCTGAAATTTACTGACTAAGACTTAATACTGAATATTGTTACATACATGTTAACTTAGCCTAGTTAATATTTTTTATATTAATAATTTGTATATTTGTGAATGGTACGGTGCAACACGTGTAATAGAAAATAATATTATACTTAATAAGTTATAATTACCCATGTATAAATAGTGTCATGTGGTGTAATAAGTGTAATGAGAGAGGGTATTAGGCATGCTGACAATTATTGTGAACAGTAAAAAAAATAGGAGAACGCGAGTTGAGAAGGAAATTGGAAATCTAGATCAGGGTAAAAACATAGATTATTAACAAAATAATTTAAAATTGAATGAACTTCAGGAAATCGAAAAAGATAATTATATAATATCTTTGGTAAGGAAATGGTATACAACGAACATTTAAATATTTAACTAACCATAAACGATGTGAATAATTTTATAATAATGAAAAGGAAGTTGGAAACATATTTATGCAATATGCAGTGTAATTTAAACTTGCTGAATAAACTTAATTTTATATAGTATAGTGTGTCTACCACCGAGTGTGCACAGGCACAATTTTAATTTTTTAATTTGAAGGGGCTGTTCTAATTTAGACCAAACTGACCCGTGGGGTGCTATTTCACACTAGGCTCTTTGATCACTTACATTACACTTTCAAAGTAAAAACTTGGAAACCCCTTAAGTTAACACGAGATTGGGTAATTTTCACCAAAATAAAGACGCGTAATTTGTACCACCGCTGCGGGGGGCTGAAAATAGTGTTTGCAATTTGTACCAAAATAATGGTATGAAATTTTCACCAATATTGGTATAGCCAAAAATAGTGTTTGTAATTTGCACCAAAATGAGTAGTCGTATTTTTGTATTCGATTATTTCGTCGGTGACCTCACGGTTGACTTCGTGACTCGTCGGACTCGAATGACAACAATAGTTTTTCGGTATTTCTAAGTACCTATCCACCGTCTTGTATCTGGAAATCAAATATTTTAATCAATCCGTCGAAATCGCTTTAATATACCTATGCAGGTATACAAAAAATATAGTATTACATAATTTAATAACTTTTGGCAAAAGAAAATGCATTTATTTATTTTATTTTTTATTGATGAAAAATCCTCGGAAACATGGGCCATTTGGGTTCGCAATGCATTTACATTGGAGCGTCGATTATCCGCACTAATTGGGACCAAATGGGGTGTGGATAATCGATTTTCGAGTATAATCAAACAACCATTGAAGATTATTTAGGTTCAAAAGAAAAAATAGCACTTTCAGAACACAAAACTATTAAATTGGTTAAATTTTGAAAGCTTGAAATTTAAACTTATTTTATCATTTTTCATACACTGACTAGTTTTGAGCTATTTATAGATATTTCAAATCACAATTTTTTAAAATTTTTTTTCTATAAATGTCCTTAAAATGTTTTCTATTTAGGTATCTAAGATTTTAAAATTTAATGACACATTCCTCATTTGTTGTTGTGATAACAGTTGGAAATTATGAAAAATACAAATCTAGGCACGATTTTTTGTGCATTTCTCGTGTTGCTAGAAACTTGAAATTTGAATAATAGTATACTTATAATGGTCTCATGCAAATAATGAATTTAGGATTTGAAGCCATAAAACATAATTATTACCTATTTGTGTTCTAAAGTCTTTCCCAAAAGGAAGACATTTCTAGTATTTTCTACTGTACATACGATACTATACCTATACCTTAGATGGAAAATAATTACACATATTTATTTTGGTGTAAACGCATTTCAAAATTGCTGTTGCAAATTACACAATATATTTTATACATTTTGGATTGATTTTTGTGCAAATAAACTATATTCAAATTAACTTTAGACCCGCAAGGCCACACTAACTTAATTATTAATCCCTAAAAAATTGAAAATATAATACTATAAAATGTTTGGAATGCATAATTCTGTATTATTTATTTTTAGAAATTGCAAATGTCTGAACCTATCAAAAAATCCAAATTTGTTTAATATAATATATTCATTTGACAATTCGTTTGATAATTTATATTCTCACAATTAACATCAAACTATTATTTAAGAGATAAAACTATAAACCTATCCTGATAGTCATTGCAGATATCTGGAATAAGTTTTTAATTTCATCACTATTGAAATAAACTTTTCGCACAGATAACTGAGCTGCAGATCAGCATTGTTTTGATACAAATTATTTATTCCTTGTAGTGTAAACTTAAGCATATCTTACAATTTTCTTGAAATCTTCTAAAGTTTTATTTGGATTACTCCAATTTGAAACAAACAACTGTAGTTTTTTTCGTAATATATCGCTTTATAATTAGTAGAAATTGTTCTGGAATATGCTCGCTTAAAAAGTATTATTATTTATTTAATATTGAATTCGAAAAAATGTGTTGTATAAAGTTTGTTTAAAATGAAAATAATTGTTTTATGTGAATTTATATCAAATTAATCTTTAAAATTATAATAATGGAGTTTTACTTAATTTTTTGGATGGGTTTGTCCAAAATATAGGGCCTATACAGAGTGTAACAGAAATACCTATAAAATTTTTATAAATATAAATACCTAACTTTTGTTCTAATTAATATTTAAACATATTTTTTGAATAATGCATTATTGTATATCCACTAGAGCTATCATCAGTATAATAGTAAAACGTCATTTATTTATCGAACACTAAAAATAAACAGTATAACAAAGCCAATTTATAAATCTAATTTTTAAACAAATGTTGATGGTAAAAACGTTTTTTCAAGTCAATTAGTTTATTTTTTAAAATGTTTTAAAATATAAATATTTTTTTGGAGTAAAGGAATTTGAACCGTAATAACTTTTTTCAAAATATTCTTTTTGGGAATATCCTGACATAATATTGTATTCATCAAATTATAATAAGTCATCCATATGTGTCAGTTTTTTTTATTTGTCAGGTCTCTGTAAATGAGAGTACGAGTATGTGATTTAAAAGACT